CAGCCATCTCCGAGAAACAGCCTGGATAAAAAAAACATGCGTACAATATCAATATGTCGTCCCCGACTTCGTTCGGGGCGACATAATAATAATAGGGAAAAAGAAACCGAACGAAAACAATAAGGTCTTCCGTTGGAAACGGAAGACCTTAATAAGAAACAATAGAATCACTAGAAGGTCTTCCGTGAAGACGGAAGACCTTAATAATAATAAGAAACAATAGAATCACTATATGGTCTTCCGTGAAGACGGAAGACCTTAATAATAAGAAACAATACAATCACTATAAGGTCTTCCGTGAAGACGGAAGACCTTAATAAGAAACAGAGTAAAAACAATATGTTCCCCAACTTCGTTTGGGGAACATAATAATAATAAGAAACAGAGTAAAAACAATATGTTCCCCAACTTCGTTTGGGGAACATAATTACGGCGAACAGACCCTGTGCGAGCAAGATTTAGGGCGATCGGACTCTTGGCGAACAAAAAATCGGGCGAACGGGAAATCGGGCGAACTATTTTTAGGGCGAACGAACATGGAACCAGGTTTAAATGAATAGCAAACAGCCATCATGCTGTCAGGAAAAATAAACAACTTTATATTTTACTGGATTTAAACATTTTAAAGGTAAGAAAGTAAAGTTTTATAGTGATAGACACTTTAAGGGATGTTCAAAGGAAAAAGTTGAGGCGGGCAGCTAATTTATTTCAGCCTGTATTTATTGAAACCAGCTGCCGAAGTCGGAGCAAAAAACCCCGAATCACTTTGTGTGGGACTGGTCTGAGATGGGTAGTAGACGTCAGTCCAAATTTTCAGTCTCTACCCATCTCGCTGAGATTAAACTTTTCGCATTAATTGGATTGATTGTTTTAGTGAAGGAAGGGAGATGTTTAAATATGATGTTTGTTCTGTTGCCCAGTAAAAGCAAGCTGGGGAAGAGACTTGTTCTTTGTAAAGCAATTTGATATGAAAGATCGCCAACTTACAGTTAGAAAAGTAGTTGATTATCTTTACAATTATATAATTATTAAACCCCTAAATTAAAGTATCGTTTAATTTAGACTTTAAACATATCAGATATGATAAAAAGAAGGCACCCATGGTTTATGCATATTGAATAAATGACGCTCCAAAGACAGGGGATTTGGGTTTTGATGGTCGCCATGCTTATTCTGGAAAAGGATATCATCATCCACCCATACTATCGCCGAGTCTTGGCCATTTCTGACAAATGGACTGTTTTTGTTGTAAAAAATAACTTGCATGGTAAGAAATATAAGAGTCGGAAAAATCTTTAAGCTTCTGTGACAGAACGCTAAGGAACATGGCACGTGACCGCCTATATCACGTGATCCGCGCATGGGCAAAACAGTTGCAGATGCGCATTTGAAATTGGGAGAGGAACGTTCCTCGCATGTCTTTTTCCTAAAGATTCATGTATTTATTGAGTTCATTTGAGAGGTATGTTCCTCGCAGGTTTTTTGTTAAAGATTGAGGTACATGTTGAGTGCGTTTGAAATTGGGAGAGGAACGTTCCTTGCAGTCTTTTTGTTAAGGATTCATGTATATATTAAGTTCATTTGAAATTGGGAGAGGAACGTTCCTCGCAGGTTTTTTTGTTAAAGATTCATGTATGTATTGAGTTCATTTGAAATATGGAGAGGAACGTTCCTCACAGTTTTTTTTTTTTTTGTTTAAAGACTCCTATGAAGATCGAGTTCATTTTAAATTGGGAGAGGAACGTTTCTCGCAGGTTATTTGTTGTTAAAGATTCATGTATATATTGAGTAACTCCCTATGGACTAAAGAAGAACCCTATTGATTTTGAGGTCAAATGGTCAAAGGTCAAGGTCACAAATAGCAAATTCTGTCTGTTATAATGCTTTCGTTTCCACACGATATCTCTAGAACCATTTGAGCTATTGCAATGAAATTTTACATAACAACTCTCTGTGGCCTAATAAAGACCCCTATTGATTTTGAGGTCAAAAGGTCAAAGTTCAAGGTCGTAAATTTACACATATATTTGAAATTGGAAGAGGAACATTCCTCGAATGTCTTTTTCCTAAGGATTCATGTATATATTGAGTTCATTTGAGAGGCTCAAGTGAGCTTTTCTGATCAAAATTTGTCCGTCGTCTGTCGTCGTTGTTGTCGTCGTTGTTGTTGTCGTCGTAAACTTTTCACATTTTCATCTTCTCCACAAGAACCACTGGGCCAATTTCAACCAAACTTGCCACAAAGTATCCTTGGATGAAGGGGATTCAAGTTTGTTCAAAAGAAGGACCACGCCCTTTTCCAAGGGGAGATAATTATGAATGAGAGAAAAATTAATGGCATTTTTAAAAAATCTTCTTCTCAAAAACCACTGGACCAGGAAAGATGAAACTCATGTGGGATCATCCTCAGGTAGTGTAGACTCAAATTTGTTTAAATCATGACCCCCGGGGGGTAGGGTGGGGCCAATATGGCCCATCAAAGTTTTACATAAGAAAAATCTTTAAAAATCTTCTTCTCAAGATCCTTAGGAACAGGAAAGATGAAACTCATGTGGAATCATCCTCAGGTAGTGTAGATTCAAGTTTGTTCAAATCATAACCCGGGGGGTAGGGTGGGGCCAAAATGGCCGACCAAAGTTTTACATAGGAATATATTGGGAAACCTTTTAAAATCTTCTTTTCAAGTACTTCAAAGCCATGATTAGTAATTTTTATATGGAATCATCCTCAGATAATGTAGATTCTAGTTTGTTCAAATCATGATTCCCTGGGGGTTAAAATACAAGTCCCTCCCACCCCCAGTAAACTTTTAGTTCTGATCTGATATGTGCTTTCTCCTAGCCGATGTGCTCAGGTGAGCACTGTGGCCCCTGGGCCTCTTGTTTTGTTAAAGATTAAGGTACATATTGAGTGCGTTTGAAATCAAGAGAGGAACATTCCTCGCTTGGTTTTTTGTCAAAGATTCATGTATAAACTGTAGATCATTAAAGAACTACGTACTCTAACTCTTGATTCCCGCCTACATTTTGCACCCATTAAATTCAATTTTAATGGCAATTTGGCCATTAAATCTTTGTTTAATACAAAAAACAGTTCTATGGTAATTGATTAATCATTTTAATTCCAGCACTAGATAGTAAATTATCATTAATTTCAGCTCTCGAAAAAAGGGGAGTTCACGATATTTTCTAGTGAAATCGAACTTTCAAAAATCACCATATTTTGAAATAGTCTTAAATATGATAAAATGTATCTCATATTTTTTCTTATGTTTTACGCAAATAAATAAAACATATATAAATTACTAAAATACAATTATTTAGTTGTAAATAGCTTCAAAATTGGTGAAAAATCAGCATTTTTTTGTTTTCTGTCTATAAAGATATGTCCCCCCCCCCCCGAAACACAAAAAGCTTTGGCATAAATTTGTAAAATGACAGTCTATATTACCTGAAAAAAGGAATTTTTGTTTCACGGGGGGGAAAGATGTTTTAAAAATATTTTCCGTTTTCCATTGATTTCTATAGTGAAAAACTCAAGTTTTACCAAAATTATAGAGTTATCTCTCTTTGGTATCCCAAAAAAGTAACGTTTTATTAAAATTCATATACATATCTATAAAACTTTTGAGAATCATTCGAATATGTTAACTTTTAAGAATTGACTTAGAGGTAGGCGGGAGAACAATACTATCGTTCGTGGTTCTTTTCGCGAGATAGTCATTGACTCTTGATTAGCAAGACAAAATTTTCATGAATTGTGGTTATTGCCCTATATAATCATAAGAAATGCTATTATACGTGAGGATTAAATTTTTGCGAGCACACTGTCTCGCATAATTACGTGAAAATAAAGTTCTCGCGAATAAAAAGTGATTTACAGTACTGAGTTCATTTGATAATGGGAGAGGAACTTTACTCGCAGGTTTTTTTTGTTAAAGATTCATGTATATGTATTGAGTTCATTTGAAATATGGAGAGGAACGTTCCTCACAGGTTAAAGAATAAAGGATCCAAAATCTTGAATTTTTAGGGTTTTCTATTGCAAAAAAAGACTGGAGGAGCTGCAATTAATGATATTGTAGCTTAAAAGGGCTTCAGATTAGAAATGTTGGGTTAAAAAAAGGAATTTTGATTTTCCTTTTTTGATTTGGATTGTGTTAGGGGTACTATGTTAACTCATTGCCATGAGACCGTGACAAAATTTCATTTGGTATTTTTAGACTTGCGAAAGCTTCTCTAATTAAGGACACACGCAAGGTACCTTACCTACTGATAATTTTTCAAGATATTCTTAATTTAAGATTTTAGTGCCATCAGATGTTCATAGACAAAAAATCAGCATGCATTACCAGGGGTTTTTTGGAAGATATAAAATTATGAATATCTTTGCATTTTTCAAAGAAAAACATACAAAAATTACAAATCATCATTTCCAGATTTTTTTCCATCAAAATTTGTTTGAGAAGAGGTGTACAAATCCTATATAGACATTAAAAGAATTGCACACATGTCCTTCATATAGTGGAACTCTTCAACTCCAGGGAAGAACCCAATAAAGTTCAAACTACGTTGCGTATGACCTTAAGAAGCACCAATTAATAAATTGAAATAGATAGATACACATAAAATGAACTTATCACATTGTGTATCACAAAAGGGTTTCTCTGATTGGTTGGAAGATAAGGAAAACAATATAAATATTTCTTATTTTTCCAAAGGACGTAGCTGAAGTCAACAGTAAGATATCAAATGAAACTAATAACGGACACAATTAGTACCCATGGAACAGGTTGTTGGAAGACGTGATCTGCAAAAATTACATTGAAAATGTTTATCACAAACTTTTGCAAGCACCTTTTTATAAACATTAAATTGAAAATAAAATCTTGATTCTTGAAAGACAAGTGATTCGAAAATTAACATCATTAAAAAATAGTTTTATTTATGTCCAAATCCCTGCACATTATTATGTAAAATAAGTATTGTATATTTAACATTCTGCATAACAATAAAAAAATAATCCCTAGTACCGGTTCATTATATGACAGGATCATTTTCAAGTGTGTTGTGAACAAAGTATTTGAAATATCTCCTGCTATCAGACTTAATTTAAGTTGCCAGCTTCCAACTTAATCCAAGTGTTGCCAGAACCAGTCCAGAATATTCATACAGGAATCTGCTGCAGCCTCGACTGTATCAATAGGATGACAGTTCTCTTTGTAGCCAATCAATCTGCGGAAAGATAGAATTTTTAAAATCAATACAATTTTTTATTTAAAGGTTGATATGTTTATATATTTTTCTTTTTAACATTAGCAAAATGCACTTTTTAGTACAAATTTCTTTTTACGTTTGTTAAATTATGGTGAAGTGATACACAATAAAACACTCATATAATATAGTAAAGTGCCAGATGGAACATTTTTTTTCTTTTAAATATACAATGTAATGTGTTATGACTAGGGAAATGGCAAAATGGGAATGAAAATAAAGGTTGGATATCAAGCTGAAAGGTGTTAGATCAGACAAGTTTGACAGTATGTCAGGTGTTAGATCAGACAAGTTTGACTGTATGTCAGGAGTTTACATCAGACAAGTTTGACTGTATGTCAGGAGTTAGAACAGACAAGTTTGACAGTTTGTCTGGTGTTACATCAGACATGTTTGACTGTATGTCAGGTGTTAGATCAGACAAGTTTGAATGTATGTCAGGTGTTAGATCAGACAAGTTTGAATGTATGTCAGGTGTTAGATCAGACAAGTTTGACTGTATGTCAGGAGTTACATCAGACAAGTTTGACAGTTTGTCTGGTTTTACATCAGACAAGTTTGAATGTATGTCAGGTGTTAGTTCAGACAAGTTTGACTGTATGTCAGGTGTTCGATCACACAAGTTTGAATGTATGTCAGGTGTTAGTTCAGACAAGTTTGACTGTATGTCAGGTGTTAGATCAGACAAGTTTGACTGTATGTCAGGAGTTACATCAGACAAGTTTGACAGTATGTCAGGTGTTACATCAGACAAGTTTGACTGTATGTCAGGTGTTACATCACACAAGCTTGACTGTATGTCAGGTGTTACATCAGACAAGTTTGACTGTATGTCAGGTGTTACATCAGACAAGTTTGACTGTATGTCAGGAGTTACATCAGACATGTTCGACTGTATGTCAGGTGTTAGATCAGAAAAGTTTGACAGTTTGGCTGGTGTTACATCAGACAAGTTTGACAGTATGTCAGGTGTTAGATCACACAAGTTTGACTGTATGTCAGGAGTTACATCAGACAGGTTTGACTGTATGTCAGGTGTTAGATAAGACAAGTTTGACTGTATGTCAGGAGTTACATCAGACAAGTTTGACTGTATGTCAGGTATTACATCAGACAAGTTTGACTGTATGTCAGGTATTACATCAGACAAGTTTGACTGTATGTCAGGAGTTACATCAGACAAGTTTGACAGTATGTCAGGTGTTACATCAGACAAGTTTGACTGTATGTCAGGTGTTACATCAGACAAGTTTGACTGTGTCAGGAGTTACATCAGACAAGTTTGACAGTATGTCAGGTATTACATCAGACAAGTTTGACTGTATGTCAGGAGTTAGATCAGACAAGTTTGACTGTATGTCAGGAGTTACATCAGACAAGTTTGACTGTATGTCAGGTGTTAGATCAGACAAGTTTGACAGTATGTCAGGAGTTACATCAGACAAGTTTGACTGTATGTCAGGTGTTCGATCAGACAAGTTTGACTGTATGTCAGGAGTTACATCAGACAAGTTTGACTGTATGTCAGGAGTTACATCAGACAATTTTGACTGTATGTCAGGAGTTACATCAGACAAGTTTGACTGTATGTCAGGTATTAGATCAGTTTGACTGTATTTCAGCTGTTAGATCAGACAAGTTTTACTGTATGTCAGGTGTTAGATCAGACAAGTTTGACTGTATGTCATGTGTTACATCAGACAAAATTGACTGTATGTCAGGAGTTACATCAGACAGGTTTGACTGTATGTCAGGAGTTAGATCAGACAAGTTTGACTGTACGTCAGGAGTTACATCAGACAAGTTTGACTGTATGTCAGGAGTTAGATCAGACAAGTTTGACTGTATGTCAGGAGTTACATCAGACAAGTTTGACTGTATGTCAGGTGTTAGATCAGACAAGTTTGACAGTATGTCAGGAGTTACATCAGACAAGTTTGACTGTATGTCAGGTGTTCGATCAGACAAGTTTGACTGTATGTCAGGAGTTACATCAGACAAGTTTGACTGTATGTCAGGAGTTACATCAGACAATTTTGACTGTATGTCAGGAGTTACATCAGACAAGTTTGACTGTATGTCAGGTATTAGATCAGTTTGACTGTATTTCAGCTGTTAGATCAGACAAGTTTTACTGTATGTCAGGTGTTAGATCAGACAAGTTTGACTGTATGTCATGTGTTACATCAGACAAAATTGACTGTATGTCAGGAGTTACATCAGACAGGTTTGACTGTATGTCAGGAGTTAGATCAGACAAGTTTGACTGTACGTCAGGAGTTACATCAGACAAGTTTGACTGTATGTCAGGAGGTAGAACAGACAAGTTTGACTGTATGTCAGGAGTTACATCAGACAAGTTTGACTGTATGTCAGGATTTACATCAGACAAGTTTGACAGTTTGTCTGGTGTTACATCAGACAAGTTTGAATGTATGTCAGGTGTTAGTTCAGACAAGTTTGACTGTATGTCAGGTGTTCGATCACACAAGTTTGAATGTATGTCAGGTGTTCGATCACACAAGTTTGAATGTATGTCAGGTGTTAGTTCAGACAAGTTTGACTGTATGTCAGGTGTTAGATCAGACAAGTTTGACTGTATGTCAGGAGTTACATCAGACAAGTTTGACAGTATGTCAGGTGTTACATCAGACAAGTTTGACTGTATGTCAGGTGTTACATCACACAAGTTTGACTGTATGTCAGGTGTTACATCAGACAATTTTGACTGTATGTCAGGTGTTACATCAGACAAGTTTGACTGTATGTCAGGAGTTACATCAGACATGTTTGACTGTATGTCAGGTGTTAGATCAGACAAGTTTGACAGTTTGGCTGGTGTTACATCAGACAAGTTTGACAGTATGTCAGGTGTTAGATCACACAAGTTTGACTGTATGTCAGGAGTTACATCAGACAGGTTTGACTGTATGTCAGGTGTTAGATAAGACAAGTTTGAATGTATGTCAGGAGTTACATCAGACAAGTTTGACTGTATGTCAGGTGTTACATCAGACAAGTTTGACTGTATGTCAGGTGTTACATCAGACAAGTTTGACTGTGTCAGGAGTTACATCAGACAAGTTTGACAGTATGTCAGGTGTTACATCAGACAAGTTCGACTGTATGTCAGGAGTTAGATCAGACAAGTTTGACTGTATGTCAGGAGTTACATCAGACAAGTTTGACTGTATGTCAGGTGTTAGATCAGACAAGTTTGACCGTATGTCAGGAGTTACATCAGACAAGTTTGACTGTATGTCAGGTGTTAGATCAGACAAGTTTGACTGTATGTCAGGAGTTACATCAGACAAGTTTGACTGTATGTCAGGAGTTACATCTGACAATTTTGACTGTATGTCAGGAGTTACATCAGACAAGTTTGACTGTATGTCAGGTGTTACATCAGACAAGTTTGACTGTATGTCAGGTGTTACATCAGACAAGTTCGACTGTATGTCAGGTGTTAGATCAGTTTGACTGTATTTCAGCTGTTAGATCAGACAAGTTTTACTGTATGTCAGGTGTTAGATCAGACAAGTTTGACTGTATGTCAGGTGTTACATCAGACAAAATTGACTGTATGTCAGGAGTTACATCAGACAGGTTTGACTGTATGTCAGGAGTTAGAACAGACAAGTTTGACTGTATGTCAGGAGTTACATCAGACAAGTTTGACAGTTTGTCTGGTGTTACATCAGACAAAATTGACTGTATGTCAGGAGTTACATCAGACAAGTTTGACTGTATGTCAGGAGGTAGAACAGACAAGTTTGACTGTATGTCAGGAGTTACATCAGACAAGTTTGACTGTATGTCAGGTGTTACATCAGACAGGTTTGACTGTATGTCAGGTGTTACATCAGTTTGACTGTATGTCAGATGTAAGATCAGGTTGACTGTATGTCAGGTGTTGGATCAGACAAGTTTGACTGTATGTCAGGTGTTAGATAAAACAAGTTGGACTGTATGTCAGGTGTTAGATCAGTAGGACTGTACTATCAATACCTGGCCTTTTTGTTCCTGGCCCTCAGTTGTTTATAGTACTGCTCACCCTGCTTGGGAGGAACTCTGGCATCATCCAACCCCAGCATGATCAGCAGTGGAGCCTCTACCTGAAAATACCAAATATAGTAGCATTTTAGTGGTATGAAATTTATCACTCAAACATAAACCTACAAATGTTTTAAACATTAATTTCTCAATAAGGGTGGATATACATTTAATGGATCAAATGGATCAAACAAGACAAACTCATTAGATAATGAAGAGGCTCATGGGCCACAATGCTCACTCAATGCGAGTAAACTGACTATGTTGTTTTTCACCATATTTTCTACCTTGTTATACATGTACCTATTGTGGTCAAGCCCTATAGTTACCCCCAGGAATCTACACTATCCCAGAGTGCTTCCACAGAATTTTCAGATTTTTGGCCCAGTGGTTCTTGAGAAGAAGATTTTTAAAGATTTTTAAAAAAAAATACATTTCAATGTAAATCATGGTTTCCCTATTGTGGCCCCATCCTACCCCTGGGGATCATGATTTGAACAATTTAGAATCTACACTACCCCCAGATGCCTCCACATGAGTTGCAGTTTTTCTGGCCCAGTGGTTCTTGAGAAAAAGATTTTTTAATGACACCACCTTTTTTGTCTTTTCTTGATTATCCCTCCTTGTTAGGAGGGTTGACCCTTTTTATTAATAATTAAAACACCCCTTAACCAAGAATGCTTTGTACCAATTTTGGTTTAAATGTTTAAGATGAAAATGTGAAAAGTTTACAGATGGACCGACATACAGATGGAAAGTGGGTAATCAGAAAAGCTCTCTCGAGCTTTCAGCTCTAGTGAGCTGAAAATACTGCTGTACAGATTTCTTTAAGTCATCAAGGTGCAATGTGTACAATGAATTACCTTATCAACGTATTGTAATGGTGACTTCTTCCACATTTCAGTGAGTCTCTCTCCTGTTGGTAAAGCATCATGTTTGAATTCAAATCCACTCTCCGTATAGCACCTACATAAACAAACACAGATATATCAATCTGCAGGAAAGGCAACTCAAACTGCTCTAATGGTGTCCTTTTTTATGTTGCCAACTACAAAAAGTAATTCAAAAATAAATTCTGCCATTTTTAACTTAGTACAGTAAAATATACTTATAAAGAAGTGCCAGGAATGCATGATTTTGCTTCGTTATAACTACAGTACAAGCCGTTTATTATAATAGCTTATTTGTCAGGCCAAAACTTTATAATAACCGACTATGATTATAACCATAGACAGCTGAAATTCATCTCCGAGGTCTGACATGAACATGACTTGATCAATAACATGTCCGCCGTTTTTACACTATATAAGATAAGTATTTTAGTATGTTATTTCAGATTTTTGGTTTATTTTGAAATACAAGTTAGCTAACATATCATTTTACTTTTTTTACTTACTGTTTCAACATTTTGTATAAATAAAATCACTTTCCTAAAGCTTAATAATCTCCGAACTCAATCTTCTAGATGTCTTGGCATCCATCTTGTTAACTTTCATTTTGATGTACTTTCGTTTTCAGTTCTATGATCAATTCAATCTATCAATAATTCGTTGTTGTTTTTTTACGTTGTAGTTTAAATAAAACATAACAAAAAGAGAAAATGTCTATGAAAAGTATATAAAAACTTAGAAAAAAAAAACATTTAGTTACAAAAATGTAAGTTCAACATTTCAGCATAACACAACTTGTTTACCAATTACACAATATTTACGGTATCAAAATTATGTTACAACATAACAGCACATGAATTAAAACTGTTTGTTTAATTCTTTTTAATTTTTTTCAACCTTCAAGCTGTTAAGTGTCAGGGAAAATTCATCTCATACACAAGCCCAATTATTTTCTCCTTAATTTGCACCCAAGCGCTAATTACACTAAATGGTGCCGTTTAATTGAAATTAAATTAATTGATACACTGATGTAAATCAAAGCCGCTTGGGCAGGCTGGTTATAAAAAGTTAATTTTACATCACTTCTTAATAAATTGGCAGTTTATAAATGTGATTAATTATGAACATTGATCAGGCAACAAGCGTAAGATAGCTTGGGTAAAGTGACACTTAATTTAGATTCAACACATTTTGGTAAAACGCATTTATTATCAATGTACAATTCAACAATTAAATAAAAGAAGAAAATAAGATTGCGGATGGTTTCCTGATCTTGTGTATTGTACTTTGTGAAATAAACAAGCTTCCAGTCATCGCTCAGGTAAAGTGCGCTGGAGTGTGACTAATCCCCTTCAGTCAAGCCATTGTGTATAGATAAGCGACAGTGCATGGGCCACAGGTGTTGACAGCTGTTTGCTTTTGTTTTGTTGATTGTCTCAAGGGTGAAAAAGGTGTGAAAAAAATATTACGGACGAAAATTTTCTATTATAGTAACCGAAGTACACACTTTTACCTATGATAATAACGCAAGAAATTAACATTGAATTATTAAGAAATGGTTTTGTGTTTCAAATACCTATGATAAAAAACGGAGTATGATATAAAACAGGTATTAAATTAAACGGCTTGTACTGTATAAGCATAGTTTGTTACATCCAATAAGTTTACAATATATTTCTAAGTCATGGGGAGTGAAAATCACTTCACTGTAAGTGTGTTTTCCTGTACATTTTATCAAAGTAAATATAATGTTCAGAATTCTACTTTGATGTTCTAGCAATATATTGAAACTTGTTAAACAATATATTTAATGTAAATAGAGTCATTAGATGGTAAAGACAGTGTAAGCATGAAGGTTATTTTTTGTTCATACCAGTCTGGAATATCTGTTGTTGCCAACATGCCTGTGCAAGAGAAAGGGTGAGTAAGTTATTAGCATGACATCAGCTGATTCAAAAAGATAAACTATTTTAAAGAATAGCGGTGTTTGCTTTACACAAGATTTGCAGGAAAATCAATTTAAGATAAATGA